AATGAGTCACTAACCAATTACTCTATTTCTAATAGGATCGCCATTTAACGTAAGTTTCGACGAATTAGTATTTACCTTTGCAGTTTGCAAACAACTGTTGCTATATTCTGCTAAGCGGACACTAATATATTGCATCCGCCATTTTGCGTCATCAATCATTTGAGTTGTTACGCCTGCCTCTGTACTTTTATCTGTTTGTTCCATAATCCTTAACCCATCCATGACCACGGACAAACCATTCATACTGCCATTTGCAAACAGATGTCACGGTAACAGCCAATAGGTGATGTCCACACTTGACAGATGTGAGGTGTACATAACGTATGGCTTGGCGAGAATTATTTTAACATCATTAGGTAAAAGTTTGTGGACATCTGTTGAATTACTTACACAATAGATTGTAAAAGTTTGAGCTATTAAAATGCTTTCGTATTCGTCGCTCCAGGGTTAGAAGCTCATGCATAAAGAGTTTGCACAAATCGGTAAAATTTGAGTGCCTATCGTTCCGCCATTTTGAAAGATAATCTTTTTATATTCTAGAGTTATAAATTACTCTATATATATCTATCTATAAATTACGTAGGGGTCTTCAAAATGAGGTGCTACACGACCCCCTATTTCATTTAAAAAAAAGTTCTAAATTGGCGCCCAGCCGCCGTCTTGAAATTTGCAACTGCCACTTACGCTTAAATATGGTATTCGTGCATCAATTTTATCCAAAATTTCAGCTTCATAAATTGCGCAGTTCAAAAAAGTAACTGTATATAAAAATGTCTAAAAAACTGACTGCACGGAATTTGAGGAGCTTTAAGTCGTTATACAGAAGAAAATCTAGCTTCTATTGGAACACTGCAGGTCAATTTTTGACTATTCGCCACTGTCTGTCAGAGCAGTCCGTAGGACCTTTGGTCTTGTAATTTAGTAGACCTGTCAGGCTTAGTTGGCTGAATTCCAGACAAAGTCAGGCACAAATAAGGTAATAAGAAAGAGTGGAAGGAAGAAGAACAGCAAAAAGACACTTTTTAGGGTCCTATTAAAAAATGATTTGACGATATCATCAAGATCTCAGTCAGAGGTATAGTTTAGCTCTTTTACAACGTAAATACACTTGTTACAACGATCTGAATCGTTTTAGCAGATGTTGATTACATATCTCCCAGAACCTTAAGTGGGGCGAGTTACAAAATGCCACACTACCTCCAATATATTGATGTTGATATAAACAGTTTTTAAAAAAGGGAACAGTCGGGTAACTTTAATGAATTTTAGAGTAAGATATAGTATTTCTGTTGAAATAAAAATAGAATATAACTTTGGTGCAAACATAAAAATAAAATGATAATTCGACACTAAATCAGTTTCGTAAAATGAGTTAGCTTCGAAATATAATATCGGTGGCCCAAAAGTCAGGTCCCACCTATTCCCAGTCACGCTTAACCCACTAGACATCCATTTCGGAAACCGAATAGAAATCATAGAAACAAGCTCTATTCATTAAGAAATACTGTCAACGTACAAACTAAAAAAAAAATAACAAGTAACGACAAGTGTTCAAAATGGGAGCCTTCGACATTGATACACTGCTTTACACGTGTAGGAATGGAGTCGATAACACGCTTCCGCTGTCTCAATATCCTCAAAAGCATCGTCTATGTTCCGTCGCAGATCAGCCCGAGTGTAGGGTCTGCGAGCAAATACGATATCTTTGACTGAGCCGCAGAAATAAAAGTCCATACATGTTAAATATGTCGATCGGTGGAAGCCCTCGCCCGTAGTTTTACTTCGTTCTTGCTGCATCGCCTCTTCCGCCGGCCATGTTTCTCGTAGAGACTTCTGGTCGTATTTTCGTGACATATTCTGGAATACATAGGAACTATGAATAATATTTGCGATTTTAATAGTGGGGAAAATAACAAACCATACAATGGGGCAAATTGTAAAATATGGTATCTAAAATGCCCCACTCAGATCCAAGTATCAAATTTAACGTTATATTGTTTGACACATACAGAGCAAGAAAGCATTTTTATATGTTTTAACATGGTGCACATAAGTTTGGAATAAAATAAATAGTATTAATGGTATGTAAATTTGTTTGAAACTCACCACAAGTTGCCCGACCACTGGAAAAGTATTCTCTGCAATATTTTACTAACAAGCTACAACACGCGCATATGAACATAAACCGCGTTATCGCCAGACTGACTTCGATGCCCGGATGCCGCTTTGTGCCTAAAAAGTTTGCTTGTGTCAGTGGAACGCTAGAGGGGCGCTTTGTCAACTGGGGCATATTACCTACTTTGCCCCTATAATCTGGGCGTAGTTCTATTACTTTTCGAGGTATTGTCTGGCAGCTTCTGAAGTTTATCTTAGCTTGTGAATGCCATGTATGTTTCTACGTTTTCAAAGTTGAGTCATTTATTTTAACTGCTTGTAGTACTCGTCAAATGGAGTTGATATACCTAAAATCACCTATAAAAGTTGCATAATAAAAAAATTTGTAAAAGATATTCTCGACCACTGCCGTGTAAAATCTAAGCGTTTTTTGTTTACTACTCTTATCATTTATCTAGATTTGGCAAACTTTTTGTGTTATTGTATAGTTTTCGGTACGAGTCTATTTGGTTTGATCAGTTGTATCAGTCTTCTAATAGTGCGTATACTTTCATTTCTCTGATTATTTTGTACGAAAAAATGGCCCATGCTTACGAAAACAATGAACTAGTGGACATAATACTAACATACGGAGAGTGCTAACAGCATGCCGCAGCATGCAGGTTGTATGCGGAAAGGTTTCCTGTAAGAAATCATCCGCCCCACGGATGTTTGTAAATTTAGTTATTGGACTTCGTGACACCGGATATTTAAAAGAACAACGAAGAGGTCAGGCTGGAAGACCTGCTCAACCTGATAGGTTACAAATTGAGGAAGACATTTTAGTAACGGTCTAAGACGACCAACAATGAATACTAGAACCATAGCAGCTCCAGTTGAAGTTCCACATAGTAAAGTGTGGAAGACAATACGACAAGAACAATATTATCCTCATTATTATCAACGGATACAAGCGTTACAACCTGAAGTGTGTGGCTTTTAGAATAGTTCGGCAGAAATGAAGATTTTACGAAATTAATTTTGTGTACAGACGAGACCACCTTTACACGAAATGGAGTGCACAATTTCCACAACAATCATGTTTGGGCAATAGAAAATTCGCATGCTGTAAAAACATATATTTTCGTTAAATGTTTGGGCTGGCGTGGTGAATGGCATGCTTGCTTACTTTTTTCCACCTCGACTGACCGGTGAAATTTATTTAAATTTTCTTCGACACAATTTGCCACAATTATTAGAAGATGTTCGTCTAAGTGTGAGGCAGAATATCTGGTTCCTACATGATGGAGCTCCACTACATTTTAGACGAGAAATTCATGAAGATCTAAATAATGAGTTTTCGAATAGACCCATTTCTTGGCCTGCTCGCTCCCCGGATTTAAAGCCTTGTGATTTTTTTCTGTGGGGCTAATTGAAAGAGTTGGTGTATCATGATGGAGCAGTAAATACTCTGGAACAACTTCAATAGAGCACTGAAAATGCTTGTGATTTAATTCGTGGACACCAGGATTTCATTTTCGAAGCTTGTGAAGAACAAATGGGAACAAATTTGAACAATTTTTGTAAAAACAGTATCCATCTAACTTGATAATGATATTTTAAAATAGTTTTTAATAATGTAAACTAACGCTCTTATTATGCTACTTTAATGCAGGTGATTTTGGTATATCAACTTCTTGTGGTGAGTTAAAATAAATGACAACTTTGAAAACCAGCTTCATCTATAAATATGATACTTTTCCGAACTATTTATCAAGAAGATGGCCCTGAAAACAACTTTTCTATAAAGAAAACGTTGGAGACAGTTCCTCCAATGGTAACAGAACCAGACTAATTTTCCATTATTCTACTCCCTCGTTCATCTCAAACTGTTGCGCTAGTGCAACTTTGTCCGTGCTATTCCACCTAGTCGGATAATTTTATTTGCGACGACGGCAAATCATTGTTTTCGACGTGAGTTAACCCAGAATTCGTGCTAACGCTGCGTGCAAATAGGATTGGCTATTCGCACGTCTGCAAATGGAATAACAGAAACTCGGTTTTCCATAGTCTGCTGACCTAGTTCCAACTGCGTCATGGTCATGGATACGGGAAAGTGTGGATATTGCGGGGAAATAAATAACAAGGGGCAGAGAAAACAACCGAACAGATACTACATGTCTTCAGATGTAATTGAGTCCAAAATATGGGTGGGAGAAACCAATTCATTAAGTTTCAAAAGACAGTGATGTTCTTCTAAAGAGGCTATTCGAGTATTAAGGTGGGTCCAGACATGCAACAAAACGCCGTGTAATAACACCGTCCCGCAACAACTATGTGTTACGCGTCTAAGTCACGGTGTGTACTTTTTTTCATACGTCGCGTATCTTCAAAGCAGAACATTCTGTCGTTCCGTTTTTCCTAGTGCGTTTATAATGGAAGTCGCCGCTGCTGCCTATATATTCATGCATTATTATGTTAAGAAGAATCAAAAAAAGCGAAGAGGAAAACGTTTTTGGCAGAGGCAGTTGTTCGTAAAAAGAAATGTGTACAGTGGAAGTAATTTGCTCATAGACTTGAAAATGAGCGGCCTCTACAAAAATTTCACCAGAATGTCCGCAACAGACTTTGAATATTTGATTAATTTGATTGGACCCAAAATATTACGAAAAGATACCAGCTGGAGAAAGGCAATTTCTGTACAAGACAGATTGGCAGTTACGCTTCGATTTTTGGCGACTGGTGATTCCTTCACAAGTCTTCAGTACCTCTTTAAAATATCTAAGCAATCTATAAGCACTATAGTTCCTGAAGTGTGTGAAGCAATAATAGAAGGATTACATGACAATATACAGGTAAAAAAATAAAGGTTTGACACAATAACTCTATATTTTAAACAAAATATTGCTTACATTAAATAAACTGTTGCTCACATTAAACATTTGCACTAACTACAAGCTCTGTAGTTCAATGTGGGACATATCCAATAACTCGTGTGGCAAAGAAGGAGGGAGAGGAGTATTATTGTCACTCGAGGTCGAGGGATTTGAATTACCATAACTATATGTTGGAGATGACAACTGTGATGGCTCTTGATTAAAACAGGATTCTTGGTTAGCCTGATAATTCGAAAAAAATGAGTGAATAGTGTCAGTACGTTGTGGTGGGGATTGGAAATTGCTTGAATTTTGGCGAATATGGATGCTGTCTGCTTTAAATAAAATATTCATAATCGCTTGTTGTGTATTGATCTGCAATTCAGGCGAATATTTAGCCAATTTTTTAGCCACAAGATTTCCAAATATCTGACATTCGTTGTGTCCTTCTGGGTTATTGGCGTTTGCTGATGCTTTTGACAGTATTTGAAAAGCTCTATCTAATTTATCAGAATCTTCACTTTTTCTTTGCTGTTTTCTAATTGGTGTTACATCCGTCAATTTTCTTTTCGGTCTATTATGTATAACCTCCTGAGTCTCCTTCACAACGTCGTTATCTGTCAATGTTGATTCACCATCAGATGCCTCATTATCATCTGTTTCTTCGTCTTCAATCTGTAATTAAATAGTAGTCCTAGTCATTTACAAGAATATTCACATTGCGATAGAAAATAAAGATATCAGTTATTTGTGGGCATATCGCGTAATTTCTCATGACACAATTTGTTCTAATTGTTGCAGATACCGACAACACCAGAATCATCATCAAGATAATTATGCGTAACACAATACTTACGGTACTTTTTGTCTGTCGAACTTTATTTTTGTCCCAAAGAAACAGCAAGCTTTTGAAAGCAAACCAACTACTTTCATACACATCAGAACGACCTGCAATGAATATAATATGTTCGATATGTTAATAAGTAAATAAAATACATAAATAAAAAATATAATGTAATTATTCACATTTACCTCTTCCTGTGCCTTTGTGCTATAACTGTTAATGAATTTAATCGTTACTTCTTCAGTCCACTCCATAATAAACCTGTCAGTATTACTCAAAACACAGAAACAAAGTAGATCGCACCTTTGTTACGCAGACCAGTCCAAACCTGCAATCCAGTGGTGCAACATCAGCGCGTATCGTTCCTTTGATGCGACACCAAAATACCGACATCTCGTGGGACGCCTCGATGTTACTATGTTGCGGGGTTACGTTGATACGCTCCAACGTCTACACTTGTTACGCAGTGCTGTTACGATACGGTGTTTTGTTGCATGTCTGGACCCACCTTTACATGACGCAGTTTCATTAGAACTCTGGAAGCTTTCTCCGTAACACGGCGTAACAAATCGCCTAAACCCCCTTTCACAGATGCGTAACAACATGTTTTTTTATTTTTTGACAATAGGTCAAAACACTAGTAAACCACCAACTATAAAAACCAGTGATGTGATAATTGATGAACTAGGGCTCATGTTGTTAAAATATGGAAGGAAATATTCCGTATACGCAAAAAATGTTGCCTACTTCAGGTGCAAGTCGCTTGAAATCGCACAGGTGTTAACTTTTGTCATATCGTACCTAATATGCGACTATGGACGCGCTTTTCTACTTACCTATCATAAGCACAAATCAAATTAGGCAATATAGTAAAATGCAGTAGTAAGAAAGCATCTTTTTTACATAGAAGCAGGCGCGCATTCAGAAGCCTAAATGCCAGGGCACCGCGGCTGCTATGACGAGCCCAAATAAATTTTGTTAATCCTGTTTTAGATAGCAGAACTCTTCAGGTAGATTGTTCCACAATCTCGATACCCTAGGGACAAAGGAGCGGTCGTATCTGCCAGTTCTGGATGTAGGAAGTTCGACACGGTTAGGATGAAAGCCCGAAGTGAAGCGCGTCTATCTGGCAGACACATAAGCGAGACGGTATAATGAATGTGAGAGAGCTAGTCGAGACAGCAGCACGCCAAACATGTCAGCAATACTCGAGGCTAGGTTTTACCTGGGCCATGTATACTTTATCTGAAGTCACTTGAAACACTGTGAAATACCGGGTGCGTTTTATATATCTATATTTAACACGCTCTGTTGCTGCAAAAATCGCCAAATTTCGCAGCAAATATCCCCCGTATAAGATCAAAGGCAGTTTCACCGGTCCACGTGGAGTAGAGCACGCCTATGCGTGGACATAGCCAATGAGAAAGCGTGTATTTCAGAGCTCCGAAAAAGTGCAGGTGGCTACTGAAAATTGAAACAGTTTAGCCAGTGCCGTGTAGCGGTGAATAAACGTGTTTTCTTTAGTCTGTCCGTGTTTTTTCATAGATTTTACTTGTTGATTTAATTGTTGTGTTGATTGTTCTTGTGTGTTCTAAATATGGCTCTTTGGAGACCTTGGGAAAATGCTCCAAGCCACGAGGAGATGGTTGATGAACCTGTGCAGGCAGAATTCTTTCATAAAGATTTAGAGGAACAGACCCAAAGAGTAATCCTAAATATGTATGATTGTTTGAAAAACGAAAATCCAGATTCCTCGCAAAATCAAATTTTAAACAGAATTTGTATCCTGACAAAAATCAGTCGGTCTACCATTTATCGGGTTATAAAAAGGGGAGATGTAGTCAACCATTCCTTCCACAGAAAGCGCATAGGGCAAAAATTAAAAAGAATAGACGTGGGTTTTCAGGAAGATATTCGTCGTATAATATACGGATTTTATAAAGAAAATTTGGTGCCCACGTTGGAAATGATACGGGATAAATTAAAAGATTATCCTGAAGATTTTTATAATTACAAATGCTTAGACTCACTGCACTGTATTGTAAAACTGTGTGGTTTTCAATACAAAAAATTAGATAAAAGAATGGTGATTATGGAGTCGTCTCGAATCGTTGAATTGCGCCAAGAATTTTTGCACAAAGTTAAAATCTATAGAGAGCAGAAAAGAAATCTGATTTACCTGGATGAAACGTGGTATGATACCCATGATGTTGTGCAGTACGGCTGGGTTGACGACAGCAACAAGTGCATTTTAAATGCACCATGCAACCGTGGAAAACGAATCATTATTCTCCATGCTGGCAGTGAAAATGGATTTATACCTAATGCCTTGCTGTTATCTGCCAAAAATATCAAAGAATCATGTGCCGACTATCATGAGGACATGACCTGCGACTTATTTGAAAAGTGGATAGAGCAGCAGTTAATACCAAACATTTCCCCAAATTCAGTGATTATTATGGACAATGCGCCATACCATTCCCGACAGAAAAACAAAATTCCGAATACAGGCACAAAAAAACAAGACATTATTGATTTTATGAAGGATAAGGGAATAGAAATACCACAAAAATCAACCAAAGCCATATTATTGGATCTTATTAAAAGACAAAAATTTGAAAAAGAGTATGTTGTTGACAATCTGCTTCAGCAAAATGGCCATGAAGTATTACGTCTACCTCGCTATTACTGCATTTTTAACCCGATTGAGTTGGTCTGGGCTGCTTTAAAAAAAAAGTAAGAAAACATAATCAGTCCCCTCAATTAAGTGAATCGCTATTGGCCACAATAAGAGATGCAGTATCTCATATTGCTGCCACAGACCTATTGAAGCAGTGTTCTAGGCATATTATTGAAAAAGAAAATGAATATTGTGTTTTGCCTCCTGTAAATCCCGTTGTAATTCCTCTACAAGATGACTCTAGCGACAGCTCCGAAGGCGAGGATGATATATAAATACCTATAATATAAGTCTTTATATACCTTTTTATATACGTACCTGCTATGTAAATATTTGCCTATGTCAAACGTTGGAATTCTGTAATTTTTCCATTTCTTAACTTTCAGTAAACATAAAGTAAACTCCCAATAATAAGTATTTTTTATCCCAAATCAAAAAAATAAGAAGATAGTAAAATCCATTTATTGTGATATAAAAACATTATTATTATCGTTCTAAATAAATCACCGCACGCCTATGATACGTCATGAAATTACAAAGGACGCGCCGACCAAAGGTTTTTATGCTATTTCAAGTGACTTCAGATATACTTTACAGTGAAGCGGTCATGTGGAGCAAATTACTTCTTAGCTGTAAACAAATAGCCTAGCTCTTAGCTTATTCCCAACACCTGCCGCTATTGGCGATATATGTATGCGTTCGTGCCATATCAATTCCTCGGTGATCTGGACTCCGACAAGCCGGCTCTTTGGTAGAGCTCGGCCATAAATCGAAACCGGATGAGCGCTAGGACGCTTTTTATTTGTCAAGGTACAGTGCTGTGTTTTGGAAGCATTAAACTGTACAAGATTGTTGCGTATCACTCGTCACGGCGACCAATCTAAATATTGGTGACGCTGGATAAAATCTGTCAAATGGGTAGATTTTGTTTCCAAAATGCATTTTATTTCATTTTAGAAATATTCCTAATTTCTGTAAAATCATATTTGTATCTTTCCTAATTACTCAAAAATCACTTTTACATGCGTCCCATATATTTATATGTATATGCAAGTCTAATTGACTATTATTTGCTGTTCTATACATTGTCGACATTGTTTGTACTATCTACACGAATATCATGACATATACAATTACAAAATTATCTCTAATGTACATTTGTCATAAACTAGGGGCTACATTTAGTACTACATTATGAGGATAATATACAGTTTTACAATTAATAAGCAAGCTGATAACAGCTACCTATAAATTTTGACAGGGAAGGTCATAGAGAGATGCATCAATTAGGAAGCTTTTAAAATATTTCGAGTAACACTAGCTTGATGATTGACAGACATGGTGTTTTCGATCCACTAGGGATACTCTAGGTTACATTAAACAGTTGAGGAGCAAGCTAATGAAGACTTATAATATCCCAAGCCACAAATAAGTCTTGGTGGAACTAATTTAGCATTTTAAAAAAAAATACTTGACAAATATAAAGCATGCATCTCCAAGTACTCATCTTTCATATGGCCAAAGTACCAGGCACAAATCATAAGGAATTTGTCCACCGCACCAGTCAAATTAGTGAAGTAGAGTGATAGTTCATACTGTGTTGATCAAGCGTTTCTCAATGGGCGCAAAGCCCAGAAATGCTTTCTATTTAGGATACAAGGTGTCAAAGTATAGTGCCATAGTACCTGTAACATTTTACGAAAACTAACACATCTTTAGCATAATAGAGGAACTTAACAATATAATAAAGTCACGTGAACACATACAATATATATCGTGTTTCCAGTTCGAGTCGAAAACAGATACGACTATGTATTCGAAGAGAAATAGAAAAAACAAAATTTTCCCGAAATAATAATAATAATAGTCGTCTTTATTTGGAAATACACTAACTAACTGACTGGCGAAGTTTAGCATTCGCTACTCTTACGCTTAACCAATCAGTTAGCGAATGGTAATACAATACAATCGTTTTTAATTTTTCGGAACTTTACTTGAGGCGGGATTTTGAAATAAGTTGCACATCTGTCTTGCCCTAAATATTTAACTTAATTTTTCTATGTACGCCAGATCGGATTTTTGCATTGGTGAAAATGTTTTAGTTCTGTGTCCCTATTCTTGGGTTTGAGGGAGTAGAAATTGTAAGAGAAAGTGGCAAAAAGTAGGCGTGGCCAAGAAATGCAGTATTCTTGAAATCATTTCTACCGAAAAGTGATAGAAATTAATTCACTTTAGGGAGTCGCGCCTGATCAGAAAAAATGCATAATATGTCATGCATTGCCGTTGTAAAACCTTACAGGAAAACTAATCTTTTCATAGTATTGAAAATTACAGTTTCTTGCATGTTTATTCGATTATTTTAGCACGATAGAGGCGCTCCACATCTCACCTCAGCCGCAGATTATTGTTATTTGAATGCAAGTTGTGTGCATCGACTTAGGTATGGCGTATATAAAATGTATTCGCAACACCCTTTTGTTTACTCTGAAATATTTCTGTCACATAAAATGATAGTGTTTTCGAAGCTTTCAATACTATCTTCAAATAACATGGAAACGTTTTTCATTCGATAAG